TACACAGAGGGAGTCAAGGGTCAAGGTGCCACACATCAGCTGAGGGAATCATGGGAAATTTCAGCCTAATATTTTTACATAAAAGCCTTTGACACAATATGACTCCTGGTGCTGTCATGGCAACAACACTCCGTGGCAGGCTTTTTCTGCTTTACATCCATATATAGCACAGCCATTTTCTTAAACTGCGTGAAGGAAAAATGCAGTCTGGATTTATTGCTACTCATCGTTTCCTGACCTGCCATCATGGCAGAGAGATGGTTAGCCCCCTGAGGTGGCGAGTTGCAGTGACTCAGGATTGTAAATGTGTCTGTTTGAATTAGTTTGCTATTTGTTCAATCTTGTGGAGTGGCAAAGAAAGGAAAAGGATGAGAATGTGCAGCCAGAAGGTGTGATCACGCCAACAGATCCACATGTGGAGTGACATGAACACATCCTGTGCAAAAATGCAATGTGGATATCAGGGTATATAAGGGGAAAAACCAAGAAAAGCATCAGGCAGTTCAGGGAAGTTTTGGTCTACTCAATGAAACTTCTTTCTTTCCCTTAAAAGAACAGTGTGGCTAAGCAGAGTAGATGTTGAACACTTCAATGTTCAAGATTACAGTTCACCGCACAGAAAATTCCCACCTCCATCCTTGCTCCCTCTTCGGATTTGCCTCTGGTGTTTGAAAGAGGTTCCCAGTGACTGGGGAGTTCAGCACCTTGGGTCTAAGGATGCAGGATAGGTCAGTTAGGACTGAGGAGAAATTTCTTCAACCGGAGAGTGCTGAGCCAGTGGAATTCTCTGCCACAGAAAGCAGCTGAGGTAAAAACATTGAATGTTTTCAAGAAAGAGTCAGACATAATTCGTGGGGCTAAAGGAATCAAAGGTTATGGGAAGAAAGCAGGAGTTAGATGATCATAATGAATGTTGGAGCAGGCTGAAAGAGACAAATGGCCTACTACTGCTCCAAGTTTCTATGCTTCTGTCTTCCCATTGGCAGAAGGAATTAGTTAAGGTGACTGATGAAAGAATCAAAGGAATAGTCACTTAGGCAGTAATTGGCTATGATCAAAAATACAGAAGAACCCGGGGCTATCATTAAAAGTGACAGGACAGGTTGAGAAAGCAGTTAATAAGGCATATAGAGCCCAGCACTTTATAAATCAGTGCACACAGTCCCACACAATGCCAGGAAGGTGGTGGAAAACCTGTAGAAGACACTGGAATAAAGACAAAATACTGCGCTTGCTGGAAATCTGAAACAAACACCGAGAATGCTGAGAAATTCAGTACTACTGGCAGCATCTGTGCAGAGGGAAGCAGAGTTTATGTTTCGAGTCCAGAATGACCCTGCTTCAGAAAACACTGGTTCAGCCTCCACTGGAGAACTGCTCCCACTTCTGAGTTCCATACTTTAGGAAAGATGAAGGATTTATAGAAGGTATTGAGGATTCATGAGCGTGGTTCCAGGGATGAGGGCCTGTGGTTATCTGAACAGATTGACAAGCAGGGCTTGTTCTCCTTGGAGAAGAGAAGGTTGACAGAAGATTCGATAGAGGTATTCAGCAGTAATGACTGAGCTAGACGGAAGAAATAGGGTGAAACTGTTCTCAATAATGGAGGGATCAAAAACCAGTTGGCAAAATAATCAAATCCATGAGAAGAAAAACGCAGCATGTGTTCATGATCTGGACAGTACTGCCTGACAGTGTGGAAGCTCATCATATCTTTTGAAAGGGAACCAGATAAGTGCCTGAAGGGAAGAGATTCTCAGGATTCTAGGGGTGAGGGAATGACTGAATTGCTCCTGCAGACAGTTAATTTGAGCTTGATGGACTGATTGGCCTCCCTCTGTGCAGTAACTATATTACCATCACCCTAAATTGGGTTAAGCATGGCATTAAATAACTGAACTGAATTGATTCAATCAGAAATCATGGAGATGTGCCTTGCTAAATTCCTCTTCTGTGATATTTCCATTTTGTTTCATTCCTGATCAGGCCAGTTAGTAGATTCAATCTATTCTGTGATTATGCATCTTTTTATAAATAAAGAAACACAACCTTTTGATATCACTGGTAATGGAGTACATGACTCATTTGGAGCTTAGCCAAGGACTGGAGAATTTTATTTTACAAAAAGTCAAACTAAAAAACAGCAACACCATGTTGGATTAGGGAAATAACTGCATCCATATTTGCATAAGAGATCCCTTGAAGCAGTTAATTATTAATAGCAAATGTAATTACTGTGCATTCTATCTCCTGGGTGCATTATTTGCAAACTACAGGCTATAAAAGGATTACTTTTTTTATTGCTTCTGAACTCTCAATTATTACCTCTATTAAAGGGGCAATATCATCAAAGGGAAAATAAGTTTGGGAACTTTGAAGTCAACAAGTCACATGTCACATTTTGCCACATCACGCTCAAACAATGCAAATTCCCTTTGCTGCAGGATTCATGTCAATGTGCCTGCATTTAGTGAACATGTGAGAGCAAAGGGTTTGCCAGACCTAAATCACTTTTGAAGAAAATACTCTCTTGAACAAACACTTTCCTCCTCAGTTAGGACTGGTCCAGTAACTCAGTTTCCTCAGAGGCAGTGTATCATTGAATGATGCAGCAGAGAAGTAGAGATCTAATTAAACCCATTAACCCCACTGCCTAAAAACATTCTCAGATATACATCTAAATACCCATTGTTGTCCTTGAGTGTTCATTACCATTTTTCTGGTCAATTCCTGGAGCTGGGACTTGAACACCTCACCTTGTGACTCAAGAATATAGCTCAACAAGCCACTGCTAATCTTAAAGTGTCATGACATTGAAATCAACTCATTAACTCAATCACCTTTAAAGCAGCTGCATATTAAATCCTAAACTGAAGTTTTCATCTTTAGCTTTTACCACAATCAATGAGGTAATTAGGAGCTCAGGCCCATTTTCTAGGGTTTAACACAATATCAACTTCAGAAACAAAGAGCTAATGTGTTCTTCATGTCAGAACCACAGTCCAGTAGTTCCTCCACAGAACTGCACACAACACAAAGCACTTTGGCATAATATCTGATTGATAAATCACCAAATTCATCTCAATATAGTGTTAAGAAAAATGCCCAAACCAATTATAAGGAAAATGAGAACCTGGTACTTAGAAACCTACTTTTTTGATTGGACAGAAGTCAATTTGGATGAATGGATTAACATTGTAATTGATTTCAAGAGTTTTTTTTCTGGTTACAACGTGGAGAATGGCTATCAGAGGACCACTGGATGCAATGTATTTGGATTTTCAAAAATAATTCAAAAATGTGTCACATGATAAGTTTGCAGCAAATCAAAATTCATGTATTTGGGGTTTATACATTAGCATGGACTGAGGAATGGATAATGGACAGAAAACAAGCATAGGAACATTGTCAATGGGTCATTTTCAGCTTAGCAGGCTATGACTAGCAGAATACCACAAGGATCAGTGCCAGGGTATCAGCTTCTTAGATTCAATGAGTTAGGTGCTAAATAATGCATTAAAGTTTGCTGATGATACAAAATTAGGTAGAAACTACGGCTGTGAGGATGATGCAAAAAAAACTGCAAAATCAATTAAGTAGTGAATGAGCAGAACAAAATGCTGAGAAATATGAAGTGATCTACTTTGATAGGATGAATTAAAAGGCAGAATATCATTAAATGGTGAGAGACTGTAAAATGTTGGTATTCAGAGAGAACTGGGATTCCAAATCATAAAAAGTTAATATGCAAATACAGTTAATAATTAGGAAAGCAAACAGTATTTGAGCTTGTGTTGCAAAAGGAATGAAAAATAAAAGTAAGGGAGTCTTCCTGCAATTGTATAGGGCCTGTTGAGACTACACCTGGAGTGCTAAAAACAGTTCTCTATCGATATTACCCACAGGAAGTGTAACACGGTTCAGCTGAATGATTCTGGGATGCAGAAACTATCCTAGCGGGGAGAATACGTACATTAAGTCTATATTCTTGAGTTGAATTAATGACAGTCTATTTTTTAAAAATAAAACATCCTGGGAAGCTTTGATCAGGTAGATTCAGACACAATGCTTCCCTTCACAGGGATCTGCAAATGTCCCAGGAGTCAACCATCTGAAGTGAGATTAGGAGCAATTATTTCACTTATAAGGTCATGAATCTTTAATATTCTCTCCTCCAACAGAGCTTGGGATATTTAATCATTGAGTACATTCAAGAATGAGATCAATATATATTTTGATAGTAAGATAATCAAATGATGCAGGGATAGTGTGAGGAGGTGTAATTGAAAGCTGGAACAGGCTAAATGAACTGAATTATCTACTCCTGTCCGTACCCCTTAGAGGCTGAGGGGCATCTCTAATTGACCAGTTCAATAACACATACCTGTAAGTGGCTTTAATTCTGAAATGAACTGTTTGAACAAAATAGCTTGTATTAGACAGGTCACTTCACAAATGCATGCCCAATGGTACAAATGTTTTACCTTGAAGAACAGTCCCACAAGAGAACCACAAAACAACAGCAATTTACATTATTATAGCACCTTTAATGTGGTCAAGTATCCTAAAGGACTTTGCAGAAGTATTAATAGACAGAAATCTGACATTGAGACATGTAAGGAGATATTACAAGAGGTGTTCATGTTGGGCAATGGAATTGTTATTAAAGAGGGTCTTAAAGAGAGAGAAAGCATTGGAGAGTTTGAAAGAGGGAATTCCAGAGCTTAGAGCTTGGGCTGCTGAAGAATTTGAGTTGGTGGGGTGTGGAGGTGACAAATCAGCACGTGTGAGAGATCAGTAATGGAGGAGGCAGAGACATAGGAGGTTTCAAATCTAGAACAGGTTACAGTCACAAGGAAGGATAAGGCTTTGGACTGTTTTGAAAACAAGAGTAAAAATCTGAAAATGGAGGCATTGACGGCCCGAGAGGTAATGGAAGGCAGTGATGTTCCAGGTAATGGTGGACTGGATTCTGTGTGCATGAGGATAATCATTCCTTATCAGTTTCCTTCCATCACCCGGCTACCACCACGACAGATGGAGATCTTGACCTGGACATTAACCTGAAAATTTTGAACGAGTGATAATACACAGGATTGATATGAGAAACATTAAAAAAATTAGGATCTCAAAATTCAATATTAGTATTTTCTCAAAAATAGTTCAGACTTTGCAGGCAGGAGTTGGCCAGAATCAGTTGTTTCCGAGTCATTTACTGAAGATGAGAAAATTGAACAGTTATCCTTCAGAATTTAAAGAGAATATGCAACTCCACATGTACATCGGGGTAGTTTGTTGGTTTTGCCTTTATCACTTCATAATTCACTTTAATATTCTCCTCCATCCTGTGACAGAATATATTTACTGTGTTCTAAAATGATGGAAATCTATTCATATCCTAGCAACCTGCAACTGTCCTCCCACAAAAGTCATTCAGGATTTCAGACTCTGTGCTTGTTAATAATACAACATCAGGGAATTGCGGCTAATGCGCACAGAATGATGCTCAGATGAAACCTTTAATGCTGTCCACTTCAGTGAAATAATGGTGAAAGGAAAAAAAACCTATCACTGAAGTCATGAAAAAATACAAGCAAGATAAATTTACTGAATTGAAGAAGGCTGTTCAGCCCATCTTGTCCATGCTAGCCATGAACGGACTATCCAGTCTCATTGAATTTTGTGGATCCTGGTCTTTAAACCTCTATGTTGCACCACTTCATTTTTGTTTTATTCATTCACAGGAAGAGGGCATTGTTGGCTGGGCCAGCATTTATTGCCCATCCCTAATTAGCTAGCGGGCAGTTAAGAATCAACCCCATTGCTATGTGTCTGGAGTCATGTGTAGGCCAACCAGATAATGATGGTAGTTTCCTTCCCTGAAGGACATCAGTGAACCAGAGATAACAAGGTGTAGAGCTGGATGAACACA